GGAGGCTCGTTCAATCGACGTAATCAACACTCTCCTTCTTCCTTACGATATTTCCAGATCCGAGGGTTATAATTCAGGATAAATTGCCCGTCGTACTAGCGCTTGTTCAGAACTTTGAAACGAATTGCTCGGTAATGCTTGGTGAGTCAAATTCCGGGTTCTATTATCGTCAATCTTGCATCTGAATTTTGAATTCGAGAATAAACCTTTTCCAATGGGTGAAATATGATTTTACGATTTCAAATTTTAAATTAACTAATGGTAAATGGATCGATGAAGGGTACAATTAATTTTGGCAAAAGTTTTTATTTAAAAGTATACCTGATATTTGCTAAAATTTTTTGGAAAGATCTAACGAGATGATGTCGATCGAGTGCTAAGATAATCAAAGGAGAAAACACGTTACCTTTGAAAAGATTCACGAGTCTGGTGAAACGGTTTGCTTTGCCCTGAAATATCCTCGAAATGATCCAAGAAGTGGCTCCTCTATGGAGAAGCAACCACCCTGAAATGGAGACTTCGTGATTTATTTTATCGTTGAGCTCCGTGAAGTGTCTCATATATCTCCTATCTTCTTTCTTCAGTTTCTGTCTCTTGAACGATGCTATTTTTTCCTTCTATGAAACGTTGAAGCTTTATTTATCAGACCGTACGAACGTGGAATATTTTTAAGAGCACCCGAGGTGCGTTTAAGTGACGAGAAGAAAAAGAATTTTAGAATTATCTTTTTGGAAGTGAGAAATATTTTAAGAATTTTTCAATTTCTCTTTTGAAATTACTATCAATTGTTCAGTATTTAGATTGTTTTCTAATTTCGAAATATAAAAGATCGAATGATCAATAATTGATCATTTTGATAAATGTGAAAAATATCAAATGGAAAATTCCTTTTTTTATAAGAGACTTTAAGCAATGATCACTCTATCTCACATTTTTACCTAATTACCAGAAACTCGGTAGGATCCTTAATTAAGAACTCTTATATCTCTCTACTCTCAGTCACTGGAAACAAGGAGGAAAAAGATGAAAGGGAAATGTACCAAGCATGATGAAATAAAAGTTACGTCAATTCTGATTAAATGCAAAAACTGCAACCTAGTAAAATCAACGTGAAATTGAGTAGAAAATCTCTTTAAATGATTCTGTTATGTTTTATATTCACTATTAATTACAGAAATTATTATGAATCTTTATAAAATCCCAATCGTGAGGTAGGCACGTCATTGCATGTTTTGAACGTGTTTCGGGAATAATGTTTATCTTTTCAAAAAATATAATACCCCTACAATAAATGGCTTGTTCTTGCGATTTTATATAAACGCAAATATCTTGTAAAACGTATATAGAAATGGTTCTATCAACGTTGTAAGTATAAGTCGAATTAGGGGTCAATACAGACCGATCAAACAACTTAAATAAAAAATTCCATCAGAACTATAATACATCGTTGAATTCATAATAAATAGGCGCTTTTATTGATTGAAAAAAGCAAAGTTTTTCAAAAAGGAGGGGGGGGGGGGAAATAAATAACTTTTATTTCAACTATTTTTTGATATCTTTTGTTGTTTACGATTTATATGCATGTAAATATAAAGGGCGGTTCGGATAAAAGGGTTGATATCTCCCTCAAAGTGAAAAACGAGCACCAACGAATTACAGCTATCTTCATAAACAGGTCTAATAAATATTTATGCAAAGTTTCATCAAAATCGGAATGTATCAGTCCCCGATGTTCCCTTGTTAGCTAAAATTATTCTAATTTTATTCTAATTGGTATATCTAATTTAATTTAATTTATCTGGTTAATCCTTGAATAGCAACTCTTGTACAAAATATAATTTGTAAACAAAAAAGTTTCATATGTTGGAAGAATAATTTTTAATGAAACTTAGAATTGGCGATAATGTCGCCCTTATCAACCTTCTTTGTGATTACTAATAACTTATTAAGTGAATGCAGTCTTAAAAATTAGATTACAAATATAAACTTTCCTTTTTTGTTCAATTTATTAAATTTAATGTATGAACATGATTGAAAATTCAGATAGGCTTTAATGTATATTGATTGAGAGGTTAAAAAATGTGGGTCATCCATTACACGTTTGAAAGTATGCACAATAGAATTTCATCAATCAAAGGTGGGCCTCTCGATACCCCCCTGAACACACTAGGGATAAAATGTATGAGGTAGAAAAGAAAACCATAATAGGATGACGAAGGTCGACAACCCCGACAGGTTAATAATTTTTTTTTTCAATTCACGTTGACGAGTATAAAATGTAGGATAGTTCGACACTATTACCATATCATTGCTCTTTTTTTCAAATTTTGCGAATTGTGAAAAGAGAAACTATAAAAGGCGCATGAGACAAAAGGAATTCCAAAGATGGAAGACTGGATCACTTGGTATTCTTTTTCTTCGACGAGAAACGATAACGCCAGGGGTATCAGAAGCTTTCTCTATTGTGGAAAAAGATACAGGAGAAAAATATTAAACGTAGAGGATAATGTGTGCATGTATGTAATAAGGAAGCAGGTAAATTTTATTATCCTTGGATAAATTGTTCTAACTAACATTTTGGAAAATGGTGAAATTATTCAAAAAGTAATTTAAAAATTAACTAAAGTCTACGAATCATGTTGAAATCAGTGCCAAATTAAGGGGTGATCTAAGCTACAACCCTGGGCCCTACTTTTCACCCCTTCTGAGTCTTTCAATTATTATATAAAAAAATATTAAATGAAATTTTTATTAAACTGTTGCTTTTTTTCTAAATTTATTTAGAATAAATTCCAGTTTATGAACCAAGTTTGAAAGGGGACCTCCAAAGGTTCGATACCTCCTGAGGGCCCTGGCCCCATGATTCTTAATCCGATCCTGGTACAAATTTTAATTCAGCTTAGGATTAGAAGATAAAGAAAAGGTATCAAATTTCAATATTTCAAAACATTTTCTATGGAAATTCCTTTCAAAGAACAGTTTGGAGAGAATTTTTGTAAATGGCGATCCATAAACGTATCAATCACTGATATTCTATTTCACGCAGTTTAACGTTCAGTAAGTGCGCAAAGGGAGATAAAAGGTAATTCATGGATCTAATATGTTTTCTGTGAACACATTGGGGTTGAGGTTTTCACTCTTTAAACAGCGCTCGAGAAGACCGTTCACATATACTGAAAAATCAATAGATAAAACGAAGTGTATTGAAAAGAGAAAGTGAAAATGTCTACATTTCTGTCGTAATTATGCAACGATGATATCAATTACAGATATCACTTTATTTACCCGTCTCTTTAATAAATCCACACTGTATGTACGATCTCGAAATTCAGTAGCTTCTTTTTATCAGGTCTTATTGACAAATCAATTCTGAAAGCTTAACTCTATTAACAGTAGAATTACCTATGTTCATTAAGAAGAGTCGGGCTTTGATCTTAGTGAAAAATCCCAATGATGATTATGAACAAGAGTACCAGTAAGTCCAATTTTTTTTTTTAATCTTCTTAGAATCAAATTTTTAAAATTTATTTATGGAATTTTGTCAAAAATATAGATTTAAAAATTTTCGAAATCCCTCTCGTTAAAATATCTCGCACAAATAAAATATTTTGAAGATATCGCTTATAGTTCTTGAGAAAATGGGCAGTGGTACAATATCCGATTTCTCTTAAACATTTGCTTTTAAATTGAATAAATGATGTTTCAGAAAAGCACGTTAATAATTTGTAGAGGCTCATGCTATTTTTGGATGATTTTCAAAAATTCAAGTAGCGAGGAAAAAGATTCAACAGCTAAAACCATTGCCAGCTGTTTTTCCAGGATCCAACTTTGGCACCGGATCCGAATAAGCTTCCCCGTGTAATTCGCTTTCGTTTGCTGTACATATAGAACAGTAGACGCCTCTATGGCTACGTTTTTTTAACCCTGTGACAACGGCGTGCCAGGTCTGCAAAACAAATAAATCTTGTCTGCATTTCACGTTGCGATAGCCTTTTCTATGCATAGGAATTTCTAGTAGTGGAAACAGACTGCTGTGATCAGCCAGCCATATTTTAATAATGATATAGTATTACCTCTTTGAAGAATATTTATTTCATTATTCTTAAAATATATTGTTAACACGTTGAAAAAAGTATGGTGCTTTGAATTTAATTTAGGTAAATAATTAATACTGAGGAACACTGCCAGGATGCAAGACACTGATTTTATTATTTTTAAAATATGTTGATACATTAACTGTCATTATACTTTAAATTTGATTAAGATAATTAATCAAGAAATAAATGAAGGGAGAAATTACATAGGTAATTATAAATTACAGCTTAATATCTTTAATAATGTGTATTACCCTGTGTCTGATTATACATCGTTATTTCTACTTATAAAGTGATTGATTTTGAAATACGGAAAATCTGACACAATTTCATGACATAAAAGTATTGCAAAATAGTACTTATTATACATTAATTTAAAGCTTGAAGTATCCCAAAAATGGCCATTCAAACGCCTTCTCAATATTCTTAATACGAGATGACTAATCGCGGATTGCAAATAGTTTGATACTTAAATTAATATGTAAATTTCATCGTAGACTCCTAACAAACGAAATCATTGTATTTAATTAGCCCCTCAATAATTAAAGTGCAATCAACTGGTGGTAAGTATTCTATAATAGACTTTGCGTCAGATTTGTTTCTCATTGAGTGAACTTTCGATATGATTAAAATCGGATCAGCGAGAGTAATCGGCTCAGAATGAGGATTGTGGTTAAATAACAACGGTATCCGATTATCGATTCGTAACGTTATCAGCAACGATAACTCGCCTAGTTTCAATGTTGATTCTAACTGTTGAAGATACCGACGGTATAGAAGAAAACTCCACACACCTAGTCTATCAGATAGCGCAATCTATAATTACTATGCGTACTACAGGTATGTAATAGGTAAGGAGTGGGGAACCGTCTCCGGCATCCATACGGTTTATATAAATATTAGAAGTTAGAGATTCAGCGAAGCTGGCTAAGTGCGGACGTACTCAATTATTCAGTTATTACAGTTTTGTTCCTTTCTTTTGTATTCTTTATATTCAATATATATTTTCTTTGTTTACAAAGAAATATTTTTCTTTAAATAAACAACCATAACAGATTATGAGCCCGGACTATCGCGTTTAGTGAATACTAACAATAAGTGAATTACGAGAGGTAAAAGACGGTTACAAAGTCCAAGATGGAAGTTACAAGCCTGAAAATTGAGAACCTACGTGACAAAGATAATTGGCATCAATGGCGGTTCATTGTTCGCATTTTATTGGAAAATATGTACGATCTATTCCCTGTCTACGAGGAAAGATTAATAAAACCTGCGGATAGTGTACAGGATCGGGATGTGAAATTTAAAAGGTTTGAAAATGCGGACAAAGCTGGGAGGAAATTAATCGTAACGACGGTTGAAAAAAAACCGGTTGAGAAAAATATTTAAAACGAATAATACCGTTAAAATACGGACATTGAAAGTTAAGAACAGAAAATTAAAAAGTTTAAATTTTTAATGTATTATTTAAACAAATGACTGTTAATTAACACACAGTTTAGGTAAAGAAGAGTTCATATTGTGGTAACGTAGTTTAGGAATTAGGGTAGTTTATATTTCTAAAGGCAGGAAGACAGTTATTACAGTTTTGTTCTTTTCTTTTGTATTCTTTATATTCAATATATGTATATTTTATTTCTTTACAAATAAATATTTTTCTTTAAACAAATAACCATAACACTAACAACCTAATACACTGGAAAATTAATATCATCGCGAGGAAAATACAATAAAACGATCAAGCGTAATAAAGCTGCTGTTTCTAACGATTTTGTTTTTTGTTTTTAGTGAGATCTATTGTAAGGGGAAATTATTGAAAACCGTCCAATTGAACGAGGTCTTTCCTGACAGCAAAACATTCGTCGATCTTCATCAATTACAGGATCCAGAAGTGACCATGGCCAAGTGAGTGTTCGGTCTTAATTCAGTGTTATTGACCTCGGTTTCTATTCTATTTTCTATTCTGAATGTGGCCCATTCTATGTTTAAATTTTATAGCACGGATTACCAAGGAGACGGAAAAATACTGAAAACTGACAAAACTTTAACACCTTGTTTACCCAGTCACAATAATAATAAGCAATCTTTGAACGGCGGACCATGAAGAGAGACCCAATTTTAATTTAATTTCATACTTCATATTATTTTTATTTCCTAAATTTCACACTGTCCCTCCGCTGTTCAAAGGTTAAAGGACGGAAAAATTTGGATATTTCTATATTTTTAAAAGGATTTTTAGTATCTGTGTGTTTAACAGCACACGAAAGCGGATGCAGTTTACGAGATAGTGAGAAAAGGAATCACGGTAAACGGACTGTTTTTAAATCAATCTTCACGATCGTTGGATAGCAACCCACGTTAAATCACTTGGATTTTTACGATTTTTATAGTGTTTCGCTTTACGACAATGGGTTACTTTCATTTTCGTGTGTCTTTGTTACACCCTTGGCCTCCATAACTCCCGCTATAGCTTTGCAGTTTGATTCCACAAAAAGTATAATAGTATAACATAAAAATGAGACGTCCATTACTTAAAATCACATTATTTTATTTAAATAAGTCTATGACAAAAAATTTCTAGACGCTGATTTTTACAAGTGTCAGATTTCACGAAATATGTAGTGGTCAATGTGTTAAAAACACTGTTTTGTCAATTTTATCTTTTTTTTTCTGTTTTTTGGCTCTGGAGATTTTTTTTTTATTTAATCGCTTCACCGATACGGGGTCAATAGTTGGGCTGTTTGACAGTACCGTGATCAATCAGCTAGTCAATCGCTTCTATTTCTGCCCGATCAGTTTCTACCGCCTGCTGAACGCAACGAATAATAAACCGACTCGAATGCAGCTGACTCAATACGTTAATGAGAATTTCGCGTCATCGAACGAATTGGTGAATTGGACTCTGCCAGATTGGACGGAGAATCCTTCGATTCTGAAACGTATCCAGGAGCCGAAATACCGAGAATGGGCGAAGTATCTGAATGAAATCTGGAAGGACTTGGCGAGGAAGATGAGCGACGATGTTGAAATACATCCAGAGAGACACAGTTTGATTTACGTAAAGAATGGGTTTATTATTCCTGGAGGTCGTTTTAAAGGTAAGTCGTAAATTCAATTTTAATAGCAGCAAATGATCAATCACTGTACTTTAAACTTAGCATACCTACAGTATTCTATATACATATTTCAATCTATAGCCAGTGATATTTTGACAGAGTTTAAATTGAATAAATCTAACGAAAGATTAATGTACATTTAATTGATATAAATCGTATCACCTTTCTGTTTTTCTATTTGTTTTCTCCCAAAAGAATTCTACTATTGGGACAGTTACTGGGTGATTGAAGGGCTCTTGTTATCCGACATGTATCAAACTGCCAGAGGAATGATAGACAATTTCGTGTACATGGTGGAGAAATATGGGTTCATACCCAACGGGGGTAGAATTTATTACCTTATGAGGAGCCAACCGCCCCTGTTACATCTCATGGTACGTCATACTTTTTCATATTAATTCTAAACTCGTTTCACTTTCATCTGTCTGTGCATCATTATCGCTGAAATTATTTAATGAAGAGAATTTTTATTGCCCTTATCGTTCACGGTTCTAGTTTAAATTAACAAGCTGTACAATGATTAGCACCTTCAATTAATTATTTTAATTAAAGATCCTTCACTATAAAATGGTACCAAAGGTAATTTAATTATTTGAAAAATTTGACAAATAAAAATTTTACTTAATTTGAAATTATTAATAAATTGATACATATTGGAAATATGAATTTTTATTAAAATTGAACATGTGGCTGATTAATGCAGTGACAAAAGTAGTACATTTTGTCCTATATGTTTATTAAAATTATTTTAATATTTCTAACTGTTTAAGGCAATAAAAATTCGAACAATCGTTTCCTTATTCTCATTTCGCCAAATAAATTAGTTAGAAAGGTATTCGACAGAGAAAGTACGTGTTCGTCAATCGTAGAAAATTACAGCTGAAACCCGTGAACGAAATGGGACTTGAGTTTCGACTTAATTAAAGTCGCATTGATTGGTGTTAATTGCAATTCCATTTATTACTCGCATCAGCTCGATTCGATATGTACTGCACTTAAATGGTACACTGGTTCGATCACCATTCGAAAGGGTTGTTCGAAGAAATTTCAATAAGCTTTCCAATTCTTGTGTCGCTGAACTCGGTCGAGCTAGGAACTCTACTTTTGGCAAAATTTTACCACCATGGGAAAAAGTTTTCCCCATTTCCCTTCCGCCCAAGTCGGTGGCCAGTCCTCCAAGATTTCCATGCAATTGAATTCGCAAAGTCGATCGACGGAAAATGTGTGTAATTCAAGAGAGAAATCGATATGACCATCGTGAACGGGATACCCGGTTCGCATTGCTTAACTCTGGAATATTTTTCGAGGAAACTTGTTACTTAGAAGATAAGACTTTGTTATTTCCTTAAAGAATCCGGACAAGAGGAAAATCATTGCAGCGGATAAGCTTCCGACGCGACGTAGGAAAGAAATTAATTCATAGATTAAATGTACATTGGCAGAAGAAAGTTGTTGTATATGAAATTAAATGGAATTGAGATTGTTGTGTCTGAAATGACCTATTTCAGAAAAGTTGATGCAATTTCATGGCATAAAAGTATTGCAACATAGAATATATGGTAGATCAAATTGAAGGTTAAAATTTATTGAAAATAACTACATCAAGATTTTATAAATCTTCTGCAATTATCTTAGACTTTTTCTATTTCGAAAGAGAATTCTCCATATGGTACATCATTGTGCGTTGCAATATGCAACCAGTCGTGTGATATTAAGAATATTAACGAACGGTTTATATAGTCATTTTCGTTAAACTTCAAGCTTTAAATTAATGTATCACAAGTGATATCTTGTAATACTTTTATGTCATGAAATTCGCCAAAAAATTGTACTTTTGATTTTACCTTCGACTTCGCAATAGTTTGTGCTGAATTTAAATCACTAGATAGTTAGACGATTTCTCTATAAATTTTACAAGTTGGATGTTTTTGCAGCAAACGAATGCTTGTTTTTTACAACAGTAGAAGAAATACAATTCACCTAGTGTAATACTGCAATTTTCGGAAATTTAGTGTTACCCCTGGATCAGTCGTTTGAATAAATCCGAGAACAAGAAAAACCAGGAAAATCGTTACCAAGCAAACTCCTTTGCGCCACATTTTCTTCGACGCACGAAAATTTCAAGTCGAAGAATACTCCAAGGAGTTTGGTGCATGCATACAAGTTCTCGCTGCTGCTTCTTTGACGAATCAAAGAGCAATCTCGAGTCCTTCCGCAATTCGACTGTTCGTTACTGTGAATTGCATTTCAAAGGGTAGCATCTCGTCGAATCTGTTCTTTTGACACGAATTCGAGTCTCAAGTTGAATGGAACGCTTGTTGGAAGTCGAATCGGATCAATAAATCGATCATTCGATTCCTTCTGTTGCTAGCTTTTTGAAAGGGACGATTAACTTACAATTAGTAGAATTGTAATTAATTATCCGTAGAGCTAGTGCCGACTATCGAGAATTCAAGGTTGGGCTATCGAGCCTCCAAGGGTGCTTAAATCTAATTTTTAAAATTGCACCAGCTTGAAAATAAAAAATTGTTGTATTCTGTAATTTGGGCGAGGGGAGACTAGCTCAGGGTGACAGACGCGATAAAGCCGGCCTTGTATAAAAGAGTTTGAATGAATTTCAATTCAAAAATGAATGTTTTTTAGTTTCAAAACATGCATCCATACGTATGCAATCAATACTTCCACTATCCTACATCCCAAAAGTTTTTGTTTCATATCTTCAGAAAGTTTGAATTGGAAAGCGCTTACTTCCGAATGCAATCAACCCTCCAATATATTTTCGGTAAAGATATTTTATATTGCGTTGTTGTTGTCCGTGGCAAGTTTCGGAGAACCATCGGCAATATCGTGAAAGTTGGTGAATAATACATGATACTTGCTGCTGAATTTCGACTTCTATTCATAGGTTTCAAGGTACTTGGATTTCACGGGAGATTACAAATACCTTGGCATAATTTTACCTACGCTGGAGAAAGAGTTCGCGTTTTGGCAGCAACAGAAAATGATAGAGGTTACAAAAGATGGAAGGACCTACAAGATGGGACACTACGTTGTCAATAGCGCCAGACCACGACCAGAAAGTTACAGGTAACTATTCTGTTTTTTTTTCCTAGAATCCTAGAAACTTTTTACACTGTCACTGAAAAATAGATGGCCAAACTTTGATAACGTATTCCACAAGGGATGATGGAGGATCGTGCAAACATAAATTTGAGAATGTTTTCTTTCCAAGATAAAATTTAAAATAAAAATTTTGTGTTATTTTTTTTTAAATTATTGGCATTCCGATTATTAGTGATTAATGCTAAAAATTTCTAATATCGAAATATTAAAATTTCTAATTGGATATTTAATAAAATATTAGTCTGACAGCTTAAATTTAAAAATTTGTTAATTGTATGCGTAGTAATAATATTTTAATACTGAAACGGTTCTGACGATCTTTGGAATATTTTTATGACTTTAGAGAGGATTACAATATGGCACAAGAACTGCCCGAGAAAGACCGGGATTTCTTTTACAATAACATAAAAGCAGGCGCCGAAAGCGGGTGGGACTTTTCCAACAGGTGGTGTTTGACCAACAACAAAAACGCACCTCTCAGTTTACTGAACATTAGCACGCAGTACATTATACCTGTCGACCTTAATGCAATCTTGCAGCAGAACGGACGCCTTCTCAGCGAATTTCACTCTCTCCTGGGGAATAGCGCGGTAAGCTCGAAACTAAAGCTGACGAAGTTCTACCTATAAATTAATACGTATAACAGGTGCCATAATATCGTTGTAGTTCTATTAACTACCGGAGTTAGATCATTTAATATAATTCAATTTGTTGATCCAGTTAGGAAATTAAATCGAACTTTAACCCTTTCGCTATTATTATATCTCCCTTTGAATGAGCTACTTTTTTGTTTATATTATAATGAAATACTTTGTATTCTGTATTATAGTGTACTATTTATGGTAATTTTTTTAATATGATATTTAATCATAATTTCTAAATTCTTATTATTATGTTTACTATTTCAGAATTTGCACACTTTGTATTTGACCGCTATAACATTATAGTAGCATAATAGCCTAGTAGTGTAGTAGTATACCTTATTTTATAGCACTATCCATACCTTGATAGTGAAAGGGTTAAAAATTGCCAAAAAGGCATTTTTATATTTCACTAGGAATTTGGTACAATAATTTTTTCAGGTATTAAATATGAGATAGAAAAATGCATGAAACATCAATTTGACATCAATAATTAACGTCTTTCGTTGTTTGTCAATAATTTTTTGCAGAAAGCTCAGTATTACGCGAAAATCGCGACAGAACTTCAGCTTGCCATCGACAATGTTCTGTGGAACGAAGACGAAGGGATATGGTTCGACTATGACATGAGTCATAAGGTACCCAGAAAAACATTTTACCCTTCGAATCTTGCGCCATTATACACGAGAAGTTACAATCGCAATCAACGGGAAAAGTACGCATTGAGTGTTGTAAAATATCTCAAATTGCAGACCATCGACAGTTTCTTTGGTAAGTGTTTATAATTCAATAGAAATTCATTCTATTGATTTGTTTTAAAATTGTACGAAAAGAATTCTTTGCCTTAAGGGTACGTACCATTAGAATGAAATCGAATGGAATCGAGATAAGGAACGTATATTCATTCCTATTTTAGTCACGAGCAAAAGAGTGCATTTCATGGGGTGCATGAACAGTATTGTTAAGTAACAGTCTAGTTGACTGGCGGTGCATTGAACTGAATTCTGATAAGTTTTTGTTAGGAAATCCTTTGTGAAAGTATAATATATATTGATTCAATAGATTATGAATATTCAATTTATTTAAAAAAAGTAATAACCAAAAACCGAAGCTTAATTTTAAATAAAAAATTTGTATTTCATTATAACCAATAGTAATACATTTAGAAATCATAATAAATTATAATTAGAGGTAGGTTTAAAATTTGTTGCAATTTATAAGGGTATTCAATTTAAAGAGGTCAAAAATATGAGCTACAAAGTTTGCTTAGTATTTAAAAATTTAAACAAGAAAAATTATAAATTTTTGAGATAATAGCATAAATACTATGCCAGCAACTACCAATGTGTCAAAACTATATTATAACATTAATATTAGACAAAAAATGTAACCAAAAATATTTGCAAAATTTAGGAAATAATTACATAGAAAGATAGCAGAACACGCCCCATCCATTAATTATGCATTTTGTTCTGAATCGATATCTCAATTAGTTATGGAGATACGAGATTTTAAAGCGTAGCACTTACAATGAGGGTTGTGAATGGGCTGGCCTAATCTCTGACCCACATTTTTTTCCTGGGAGTGCGTACGCGTAGTAGTAGTAGTTGTAGTAGAAAAGCATGAATCAGCGTCTGCCAATGCCTACCCCACAGGTGCTATAAGTGAAGTAGATCAACGACAGAGGCGACGAAGACAGGGATATTAAAATATTCGAAATTATGCTTCGCTTTAAATCACGATATCTCGGCATCCGAAAGTGTTATCGACGCGCATCAAACTGCATTTTAAAGAGGAAAGATGCTTCTTTTTTACGATGTAACATATATGAAAATATTTGAAACGGTTTTGGCACAGTGCCGCTTTGAAGTTTAGATAATTTTAATACAAGTTGGATGTGACTTTGATGATAAATTGATTTCTAACGCGAATGATTTATGTATATTTGTAATTAATTATTTTATATACTGGAAAATTTTGCATATCTGAAAAATTGTTTAATGGAAAATTTGAAATGATGGGAATTTTAAAAACATTTTGAGTAGTGTTTTTCTCTTGCCTTATGATTCTCATTGCAAATGTTGCGATGTTTAAACAAACAAAGAATAACAAGATATTATGCATATTTACATTTTTATTTTATAGAATTAACAAAGATTTTGAATTACAAAATACACAAGATAACAAAATTTTCATTTAAAAATTATACATTTCATTTTAGATTAATACTGTAATATACGTTATGTTAAATTTGGTCTCGATTCACTCAGGTTAACTCTATAAGCAAAAACATATATTAACATATGATCAAATACATTTAAGTGTATTGTTAATTTGTCATAATAAGGATGGATGATTTTCTGAGAAGGATTCAGTCTAAGATGCAAGCTGGTACAAATAGATGTGTGTAATAAGGTTGCTTTAATCAAATTGTTTTTATTTCGGTTTCGTAGGCGGCACACCCACGTCACTAAATTACACGGGTGAACAATGGGATTTTCCAAACGCTTGGCCACCACTACAATCGTTCATTGTGATGGGTCTTTACTGGACCGGAGTGAGAGAAGCGATGGAGTTCGCCGATGAATTGGCATCTAGATGGCTTAGTTCTAATTACGCTGGCTTTGTCGAAACCGGACAAATGTTTGAAAAGGTGAGCTATAAGTAATACCGTGAAAGGAGAGTAATTCATTTTGTTTTGGTAGATTTAAAAAAAAAAAAACAAAACAGAAAAGAACGGTGGAAAAATAAATGGTCCGTTAATAGAAGAAGCCATATACATTAACTATGTATGCAAAAAGGAAGTTGAATAACAATTCCTTTTTATATGATTGCATATATTTTCTTTCTAATTTATTTTCTAAATTTATAATTAAATAGATCTCTGCACACTAATGTAAAATATGCAAATTTAATGCAATTAGAATTACAATTTTTTTTATACTATTGTATATGTTTGCTTCTTATTCCATTTTAATTTATTCTCTACACAAATCCATTCTGTAAACATTAATTCTTCCTTCTTATTGAAATTGAAATGATTCACTCGAGATCGTAAAAATTCTTTAAGCCAAGCTGAAGTGAGATACCAGATGATGTCCTTTTCTCTCTATAAGGCCAAGAGGAAGAAAGTCATTTAAGTTTATTAAGCTTCCAATATCATCACGATCATCGTTTCTTTCACTTGATTACTCAAAGAACGCGTTGCATATTCATCTGTATTAAAAAATTTCATTTATGCAATTTTGCATTTCGAACTATATTGGAAATACATAAATTATATCCTGAACGAAAGAGCTAATTTCTGACTGAATGAGAAATCAATTCGAAACGAAAATGAAATTCAACAAGAATGTAAAAGCAAGTTAATCCATCAGAATTTTAAAAGCGCACTTCCACTAAAAATCGACTGGCAAAACTGATTTAATTAAAACTTTTCCTTTTTTTATATCCGTGGTAAAAGCTGGTATATTGAGACGCTGGGGAGTAGCTTAATAACTTTTCCTTAACAATGAATATAAAAACTTGACATTTTCCCAATTTTTAGTTATCCAAAGTTAATATTCGCGATTGAAATTTTCCAAATAACCTTAATTTTAATTATATTTTAATTAATTTTAATTAAGAAAAAAAAATCGTTAGATTACGACTCTTTTACCAGCATGTTATAAAAATATATTCATTCAATTTTTTTTGTGCCCGAAGCAGATTTTAATTAGCAGATTTCATTTTTATAAATTCACAATCCTTTCTAACCATTATTGTACAAAGAAGTACAATTAATTGCAATGGAAATTCCCGATAAAGACAGAGGAGAAATATTACATTATTCTGGTGTAAAATATAAATTGTTCTGCATACAGTTCACTTTATAAATTCCACATTTTCGCATATAAATATGTATACACGTGCAGGACAAGCTGTTCAATTTTCCTCGGGTATATAAACGAGGCTTTATGGCATAACTTGGTTGACTGAGATATGTGTTGCCTTCGAGAAAGGGACTATCGAGGCTACGAGATAGATGCATAAATTCACGCTGAAATATATCTCGTTCGACAGAAACGACACGTGGTGTGAGTGAGTTTCAACTGGAAATAGAATGAATCTTTGTTCATCATTTTTTATCCTGCTGGAAATGTTCGCATGGTCGGAACGCTTTCTATTCTCTTTCCACTTTGTCCACATTTCTTCATTAACCATCCTCGTGTTGTTTTTACGCAATCATGAGAAAATGGAAAAGATGGTAGATGTACACGTACGATCGTCATAGCTGAAAAGCATGCTGCGTCCGTACTTCGTTTTCATCGTGATACCATGACCCAAAGGAAAATTTATGAAGTTAACCTGTCGGTGGGATTTCGGGTGAAAAATATCGGCAGGATTTCTTTCTCCTTCATGACAGACAAGACTAACCGAACGATGTTGTATTTCAGAAGACTGTCTCTCGAAAAGAGACGGTTTATTGATTTAAACGTTCACCGTCTGGATAAATTGAAAATTACTGTTGGCTTGCAAAGAATAGGTTTTTTTTTATGAATTCTTTTTTCATTTCAAAACGTATTCGAGGGTAAACTTATTGAAGAGAGATTGTTTGAATAAATAATTTAAGCCTGGATCGGCGGACCATGAAGAGAGCTCCAATTTTAAATTGAAATAAATGGGTCAATATTTTTGAATGTTGTAATTGTATGTCTTGTTCTTATCTTCGCAGTAACAAAGTCAATATCTATATAAATTATCCTTCTCTTTAATTGAGCATTTTTCAAATTAAACGACTTCTGATAGTCTCCCATGAAACAGCTCCGAATTAAGAAAGAAGATTTAAGAGAGCGGCTCGTAATTGCAGTTTTATACCCGTAGCGACAATAATTCTCAATGAAGTTCAGGAAATATCGAAGAAGATTATCGTCAGCATTATCGTTATTAGAAGAGAAATTTATTGCCGAGGAAATCGTATCGAAGTTAATACTATACGAGAAATAATTGCTCGGGTAATTGACGTTATTAAAAATTGATACGAAGGCACGAAGTCGTCTTCGATCCTTTCTGAAGACCTGCAAATAGATGTAACATTCGAAATTCAACCATTTTAACAAGGTTTCTATTTTAAAAATAACTTTCTAGTCAATCGGTTTCGTAATTTTCACTTGTTCTTTCTATAAGAATTGTTGTTTCTTGGATGAAAGAAATTATCAGTGCTAATGGAACTGGAATTAAATTTTCTATATTAAGCCATTTCTATCCTGAAAACGTAATTCAAGAAAATAATTGAATCGAATCCGGTTCTAATCTCATGTTTCCCGGAAAATCCTTAGATTCTCGAGTGGAAGATTTTCATCTTAACCGGATCATCCTGACGTTTCCAGAGTGCCTTTTCGACAAATTGAATGCAATCCGTTCGGCCTGAAAACGAGACGTTTAATGCGAGTAAATGCAAACAACGTACCCCTGAAGGGTAATGAATTTTTAACACACCGTAACGAAGCTCAGTTTTCCTTCGTTTTCTCTCAAGAAACTTTAATCGCGATTAGTCCTGTGAGTGAATAAAAGTACAACAAAGGGAGAGCCTGTTTGACTAAGAAGATCCTTGAAAGATCTGCTTTGTATGTGAGAAAAGAGAAGAAGAATCGACGTTGTTTCTTCTTGTCCTTGTTCAGAATTTCATTAGAAGCAAAAGTTAATCCCGCTCAATGATCAACTTGGTAAACTTTAATTAGTCATTGCTCGCTTGCTACTACTTGGAAGTGTTGATTCTTGTCTCTTGATCGTTAGAATTCAGAATGGAACTCTTGGCACACTTTGTCAGGTTAAATCCTGCCTCTTACTTCTCCTTCGGTTCTTTGTGTATCCTCTTTCCATTGGTGCGAGTAGATGAGGGTCAAGATAGGCCTGGTACCCTGAAAAGAAAAATTTTTGTTACTCTCTTGTTTCTTACAAAATGAAGCTTCTGTACACGGCAACCACAAAAGTTAATAAAGAGAGTTGATCGATGCGTAACTTAATTACTTCCTTGAAGTAAGTCCTTTTATAATGAATCAAGCGATTGCTTACTGTAATTAATGTTTTAATTGCAGTACGATTCGAGTATACCTGGTCAAGGAGGTGGCGGAGGGGAGTACAACGTTCAGACCGGTTTTGGATGGACTAATGGGGTAGTACTGGAATTTCTTAACACCTTCTCTTCCCTTAGAGTTAAGGAACCGAGAAACAACAGCGAATTGTACATGGAGATCGAACAATAACTGGTGAGAAGGGACATTGGTAAATGCAGGGACAATAGAGAAGAACGATGCAATTTAGGGAATTCTAAAGATTTTTAATTATAATTCTTTTATGTTTAGTATAAATTTTGCTAACTGAAAGTTGTCAAAAATAGCAATGAAAATAATTTTAAATTCTGAAGGTACTAATATCAGTGGAGCCCAGGACTGTAGCCCCTTTAGACCTTCCTTTAATCCACCACTGACCTATATAAAATTTCATAGTTTTCAGAATAAAAATTCTGAATAAATATTTTTGTTCTGCAAGTTAAGCATTAATTTATAGATATATTAAGTGTTACCTACGTATATCATTTTTAAAAGATTAATATTTTCACAATTTTGTTGCAGGTTTCATCGATGACAATGCAACGCGTATATTCCAATGAATCTAGTCTATACGAAAAAAAAAAAAAAAAACCGGCAGCGCGTTTTACGAAACCCACCGTTTCTCCAACGCAACTCCACATATGCTTTCAAGAGAATCTTGATTCTCTTTGCCTTACAAATTGTGATCGAACATTGTTAATCTTGTTCATGTTGATAGTAGGTATTTGTACTTACAGTTGAACGCACAATGATTTCTTGGGTACAAACATTTGTCCAATTTGATCTTAGCAAAAAAACAATATTATTTCTATATTTAATGTTTCTTGATAATCTTACTGATCTACAATTAATTCATTACTAATTTTCGTTATAATACGTACAGTATTAAGCAAAGTGGCCTCCCTAAGGAAATAACTAAAAATTTTTATTTTTACGATATTAATATTAAAAGTGATTTAGAAATAAAATAATATCATTTTTAATGATTAAATATTAGAAAATTTAGTATGTAATTAAGAAATATGAATAATAATATCAATTGCAATTTAAATTCTCCCGCGTAAATGTTCATACGCAAGTGGTGGGGGGCCACAAACCTATATATATGGGATCTTCTCCCCTCCATCGCCATTCTCCAGGTGGCTACTGATGGGCCTGGAAGGGGGGATATCGGCATTTCCCTAGGGAAACCGACTATGCTCGGTACTGTACAATTATTCATATATCAAATTTGCAGCTAAGTTGACAGGAAATTTATTCTATTTAACAAATCGTGTGAGGATACCACATTTTTAGCACAATGAAAAGATATTTATTCGCATCGGAATAGAAATTTCGAATGGTTACCGATGTCAGTGACATCATAATAATGTTATATTATTATTTTTTGTTTTGTTTTTAGTCGAATTCGACAAACGTGTATGTCGCATACACGCTAATAACAAACACAAAGTATGATTGCGTGCAACTCGTCAGTATTGTAATTTAATGCTAGCTGTAACGATAAGTTAGAGTACTGTTAAAGAAAAAATTCGTTTTGTTTGGTGTTTGAGAGAAGTAAAAGAACCTCCGATATTTTAAGCTTCGTGTATTTCCAAAGAATCGTTTTATCGACATTGCTATGTACAGCTATTGAAAATGATGAATAAGTATGGAATATAATGATGGTTTATGAGAAAGGAAACGATATTTTAATATATTATTAAATGAAACATACATTTATAACAAAAGGTATCGTGTGCATGTATGGAAATAAAGGAAAGATATAATTTATCATGAAGAAAAATTGTTTTATTTCAACTCGTGTTCTATTGAAGATATTCTTCTCTGAAAATTATGAAACTGTATCAAGGATGAGACAGGTGTTTCTTCCAAGTGAAGAAATCTTAATGACAAGATGTTGATATTAATCAAAGAATATTTTTGGATATATTATAAAAATATTAAAATTTTTATATCAAAATTTCCATATTACAATATAAATAATTTTAAAGAACTAAGAAGAGAATATTTTTACAATAATAAATTTTGAATAAGTTAATCAGTAACTTATTAATTTTACAGAAAAAAAGAAATAATTAATTTCAATCACTATCAGCTGATATAATATTTACAGTTGCTCAACTACTTTCAAGAATCGTGGTTTCATATATCACACACATTTCCTGTAAATAATTTATTACAATTTTTCACTCACCGAAAACGAGATTGTAAAAACCATCCGTACTTGCGGACATGTCTCGACTGAAAAATAAGTAGAACTACGTTTGAATGCAATTCACGTTCAAATTTTCTCCCGATTCCGCTTGATCGACCGGAAGAAACGAAATGTAACCAACCAATTGGCTATTGAACATTTCGACGAATAGGTAACCGGAATGCTACCATTTACAAAGCATATTTTCACGCAAACACATTGTTACGAATTTCTCAGTTAAACTCTACCGATACCAGTTTCTTTTACAGTGTTGAACACAACTCCCGCAATTTCGAGGTTCACGTTCCTTTTTTCGATACATTTCATTACAAGTTTACCCTTTTTCCACATAGCAAGAAGAGAATGAAAATTACGGAAAATTTTCGCCGTTTCTTTACCATTTGTTTATCCAGCCGAGTATGACGTTCAGAACAATTTACGCTTCCGTTAATGTCCAGAACAGCGTTCGCTCTTCCAAAAAGCAGTAAAAAGCAATAATAACGAACTAAAAGTGCACTGTACGCTCCATGTGTTGCAGAAATTAATTCGTCGATGTACCTTTTTAATTAAGACGATTCAAAGGTATTTCACTTTCAGAAAACTAAAATTTTTTTTTTTTTATTATAAAAAATTCACAAAATCACCGAAGTAACAGAGCACTTTGATTTCTAGATTATTGGAAAATGGTTTTTTTAGTTCTTCGGAAAATTTGAAAAACGAGATAGTTGCCTTGGGTTTCAACGGGATTTTGTTTCGCGTTTTTAATATTATCGCGTTACACGGTGCGGTGAATTGAATTGAATTTACAGGCTTGAAAAATCGACCTGCCAGCTATTGTTTTTTTTTTTTTTTTTTTATTATTCAAACGTTTACAGAATCAATATTGATAGAATAACGAATATACAATGTTTGATGTAGCATGAGCAAATATTATGTTGGATTTTTCAATAATTATGAATCCTAGGGAAAGAATAATTTGTCTGTATAATTATTTTAGTACTTTTATGTCACGAAATTAGCTTAGACTTTTTACGTTTCGAAATTGGATACCTGATATTAGTACAATTAACACTGTTCGTTGCAATCCGCAGTTAGTCATCTCGTATTAAGAATATTGGCAAAGTGTTTACCCATTTTCATGAAACTTTTAGCTTTAAAATGATGTATCACAAATGATGTATTGTGTTGGATTTTATGTGTTTCGAAATTAGCCACTGTTTGCTTTAATTGGGCCTCAGCCATTTTATATAAAGAATATTAATGAAACTTTTACATGGGCAATTTCTTTAGATTTCGAACTTTAAATTGATATGTCATAAGTATTATTTGGTGATACTTTTGTGTCATCATTTTATTTTTGAAGTTGACTTAATATTTTCAATTTGCTAATTTGAAGAATTTCTTCATTTTAAAAAATGGCTGATGGAATGTATAAAATTTAAATTCAAAATAATACATTAATTAATGAATACATAAAGAATACAAAAATTAATTATGTGAAACGAAAATTAATATATTTGAACCATATGTGGTAGATTAAACTTAGACCACGTGTCTCCATTGTATGCAACTACGATAGTTGTTCGTGGCTAAGTATTCAAACGTTATTAACAACCATATCGTGTTACGATCGTTCTAAAGGATTCCTTAATATCTTCGCCGATAGTTGTCGTGATCTCCTTTAACGTTACAGTTTGCCCACTAAAATATGAAACGGCTGGCGGGCACCGTTTACCATAATCACGGTGAGCCGTGCAGAATATTGACTATTAACCGATACACTTGATACGAACGGTGTCGTAAAATCTGCAAGACTCTGTCACAGTGTTTAATACCCGAAACATAAAGTATCGGAACTTGAGTTGCATTTAAATTTAATGCAACATTAAATTAAAATTGTGTCTCTTTCCATGGACCGCCATTCGAGGGTTAAGCAGTTCATATTTTCATAACAGACCATTTAAAATTCTTGCTTTAAAAATATTACACCGTAGAATACTAATGGCTTATTATTGTAATTAAAGGGTTAATTTGTATTTATTTTTAAACATAAGTGTTCCTTTGTTTTAGCTTTATCAACAATATCGTATTCATAAATGCAAAGTAGTGGCGGAAGAAAACATGAAAATAAACGCTCGAGGATATCTACATATGTATGTCTTTCTCCGTGAAAATCCCGTGAAAATGTTTTTTCACATTTATGCGCAAAATGATGTGCAGTTTGTACTCTATCGACAGGTCTATCGACGTTCCTGTCTACTGCATTTTTTCATGTAGATCAACGAAACGATTTGCGGGAATATTCCAGTCCAGTGATTGATCTGCTATCGACTCGTGTACAAGGTGGAAAAATGCTGAAGCACTGATTTCCAATTGGACATATGTAACAATGTTGATAAATTAATAAAATTTTGAGAATTTGAAGAACCTCACGTTTTTGAGGAGCTTTGAATTATAGGAATTTCAGAAATTTCAAAAATTGAAAATGAATTTGTATAAAACCTTATATTTATTAATTACAATCTTTCTCTTAATTACACTTTACATTTTTTAATATGATATATTACAAATATATAAAATCCACTCGTTTAGTCATAATAGCGTTTTAAACGCTTGAACATCAATCTTCGGTAATTAATTTTCAGTTGCCGTCTTAATCACAGCAGTAACTGGTTAACGAGCATAGTAGTTAATAAAAACAATTTTCCTAAATCTCTCACGAGATTCATCGGATTTTCCATGCGCCGTGAAATATACAGAGGCGAAAGGAACGAAGAGGAAATATTAGTCCATTAATGGAGGACATTTGTGCCCATAACAAGTCTCATTATTTCTTCTGTTTCTCACCGTTGTTGTAGCCAAGCTTGAAGAAATCTTTTAGCACAACGTTGAACGTTATGGTAACAATACCCTCTACTCTCATGCGCGTGACTGCAATTATAAAGGAAGTTATTACTCGAGACCACCCTCTTCATACCTGGAAGAAACATCAGGTACGCGCAAGCTTTCTACCCGGCTTTATGACATCTGTAAATCTTGGAAAATAAACTGTTCCTACGTTAAGATCTCTCATTCAAAACCACTTTATTTCCTCTTATTCTTCCAGCTTTGAGAAATCATGAAGTGTCCAATTGTAAATTGTGCTCGAGATATTGAGAACAAGTATTTTTGAGTGATTTAATAATCAGATATTTAATTGATTAATAATTGGATCACTAATTATAATTGATAATTTAATTGATTAATTATTTCATTTTTCTGACAAATTATTATTTTTTAGGTTCATCCCGGGATCTCCAGGAAGCATGGGAAAATTTTATTACGAACTGCTGACTCATTGGAAATTAATTTCATCCATTGATTTTTCTACATGGATGAATATAAGGTTGAGTTAATGCAAATCTATTCATCGACATTGGAACATGCACTTTGATAGATGGAACATGTTGGATTGCCCATAATGTATTGCAAATCTTGACTGCTATTAATTTGATATTAACAGTATTGGGTCATTGTAGCCCAACGCGAAGTGCTTCTAAATATTGACTTACGTTCCCTTCCGCCACCTGAGGCCAATATCGTTGGATCAATTAACTCCGGTCTTCTACCTGTTAACCAGGCTGCAAATCGTTGCAACGTCGAAGAGGACTCGGGTACGTACACTGATACCCTATAAAATTTGGATTGAAGTGGTTTATTAATTAACAGATTGTCTAACATATAGTAATTATTCAAAGAAAAAATTTTCAATTGAGGTAAAGAAAATTTTATTTTAATAATAATAATAATTTTAATTTAATTAAAAATTTTACATCATTAGGATTAGTGTAAAATGAATTTAATTAAAAATTCATGATAGTGATTAATTTTTCTAATTTTATTAGATTTTGAAGTACATCATTTTATACTTATGAAATTATGAAAATGTTTTCAATGAATGTTAAGGCATATTTTTAGATAGTTTATCAAAATACCTTCTTAATTGATTGCAATCATGAATTACACCTGTACTATCGTGAAACGCTTTAATACCTTTTTTCATGGCAACCTGTTTCCAGCGGCAAATGACACACCCCATATCCTCTAATGACATCGTGGCCAAAGATGTCCAACCCGTAAATCGACATTATTAACTGAGGCCCTGTGACAATGTTTCTTGTAAGTTGCGAATGTTTTCTCAAAATTATTTATTCGATATTGCACAATATTAAATGAAAAGCTTTGCAACATTCTTACAGTACAATAATAGCACAAAAGTCGTTAAGCAATGAAAGTTAATTTTAATCGAGGATTAGTGCAATTCCTTTATTAATATGCACTCAAATTAGTTGGATTACTATTACTGCTAATAACAATGAAAGAGATCAAGGAGTAAATTTCCATCGAAAAGGATTAAATACCACATTAACTTACATCCATGTGGACTGGTGCTTTTGAACGTAATCTCCAAGGGGAAATTCCATACAGCCAGATTTCGCGGATCATTACTGCACTTGCACATTTGTGTTAAACCTTCCTCGATACCCTGACAAAATTATACACACGTGAGTATAGGGGTTTTAAATTTCTTTTTTTTTTTGCATACATTTTATTTTAATCTGCCATTTACGTGACAAATTAAAAAATAAATGACTCACGGCGACAACAGTCCATTCGGACCCACAATAAAATCCGTACTTGCAGTAGGCATTATTGATGTCATAAAATTCCGCGTGCTCAATTGATCCCGTGATCGATAGGAAAAATTCACCCTCGACCGACATTACAATTCACACTGTACGAAGTTTGAATGGGAAAAATGAGAAAGCATTTGAACTAACTGGCATGTGCTTCAAGTTTGTTCTTCATCAAGGCTTTGTGTACGATTCTGGGAATTGGTCGCCCTGGTAACGAAACATGCGCCCCGCTTTTATGGAACATGTGGCGTGTCGAATAGTTGAAAAGGAAACTTTTGAATGGCTCTCGTAATTTCAGATTTCATCCTCTGTTGAAAATGAGATTATGTTTCGAAGGTTTTCTAATGAACGAAACGAAATATGATAGATAAAAATAGGCTAAATTATCGAAATAAAAACAACAACAATCAATTATTTATTCGCAGTGCGCCCTTTTATTTGATCTTGGCAAAACAGCGACGATTTACATTTCAGTCGTATCTAGAAAACTGTATAACCATGATGTAGTCTACATCGTGAACAATTATATATACAGAAGATTCCTTTGAATCGTAACATCAGAATGGAGCAATCTCGACGCGACATCGGCGGGCTGTACACGATTTTAAAATGAACACATTTGTCATGTCCAGATTGCTTCATTCATACCCTTGTTCATACATGACAGTTTCACTTTTTCTTTCATATTTTTCCAAACGAGTTGGAATATTCTCTAAACGATACGATTTGATCGTTTCATCTAATATTATACGTGTACTATGAACTTCTTTCACTAGATAATGAAATGTTACCCGACTTGATCATCGTCCGTTCATCACAATTTGATGGTAGACGTGTGTTCAGATATTATCACGAAAAAAACTGTACACACACACGCGTCAGTGTCGTACATATCGATGGACGTGTTCTCTTTTTAATTAAATTCTCTCCTTTTTTCTGAAACGTTGTCTTGTGAGCGATGACATCCTCACGACGTTCTGGAAAATGAATCATACCGATCGTTCTTCGTTTGCATTCTTGCAAATTGGTATGCATGCGACTAGCTACGAGATATTCTGCACGTCTCCCTCGAACGACGACGGTATTTCGAAGTTTTTTCTGAATGTTTGAGCGAGTTTACTTTCCGCTGGCGATCTCCTTCATACGGTTCAGAGCTGATCCTGCTTTAAACCAGGATATCTGTTGTTCGTTCAGGGTGTGGTTCAAGGTAATGCTGTCCACTTTGCCGTCCTTGTGCTTGATCTCTGCTTTGACAGGCTGATAAAAAAAAAGGAAATTAGATTATTATTATAGTTATAGGTTGAGATAATATTTTTTTTAAATTAGGTTTATGAAATTTTCAAATTGAATAATATTATTTTGCAGCTTTCATAAACAGAAAAATATCAATTAGTAGATTTCTCAAATTAGAAAATATTAATTAATAGCTTTGACAAACTGAAAAATATTAATTAATAGCTCCCACAAATTAAAAAATTTTTTCTTGGCAAGCTAAAGATTCCCTAAGTTATTAATTTCTTATCTTGTTTTAATTTTGACGTAATGAAATTTTGGAAATTAGTAATTTTTAAATATACAGTATCCAACTTTCTTTCTCAATGAATAGTTAGGGTTAGGTTAGGTTTAGTTGATTCACAGATTGGGACGTACTTTGCCAGGCGCTAGATCCTTTAATCCCAGAAGGCTGATCTTATCCGTGGGCTGAATCTTGTCGTAATCACTGGGGTTAGCAAAGGTTAGAGGTAATAATCCCTGCTTCTTCAGGTTAGTCTCGTGGATACGCGCGAAGCTCTTGACAATGATAGCTCTTCCACCAAGGTGTCGTGGTTCGAGGGCGGCGTGCTCCCGAGAAGAACCCTCTCCGTAGTTTTCGTCACCAACGGCAACCCATCTCACACCGTTCTTCTTGTAATGACGGGCAACATCGGGTACCTTGCCCCAATCGTTCGTTAATTGATTCTTCACCTTGTTCATCTCACCATTCTCAGAATTCACAGCGCTATAAAAAATCAATATGAACATTGTACCTTTATTTAATGATTGTCAGATAATTACAAGCTCATCAAACTTACCCAATGAACATGTTGTTGGAGATATTGTCCAAATGGCCACGGTATTTTAGCCATGGACCAGCGGCTGAGATGTGATCGGTGGTACACTTGCCCTTCACTTTGATCAAAATGGTCATGTCGGTGAGGTCTTTACCGTCCCATTTGTCAAACGGTTCCAAAAGTTGCAATCTGTCGCTTGATGGGCTAACGTCAACCTTGACTTTGGTACCATCAGATGGAGGGGCATCGTAGGTTTCCATTCCAGGGTCGAATCCACGGCTTGGCAGTTCATCGCCTGGAATAACATAATTTTTAAAATTTTGGGTAGTTTAGAAATAGGAAGAGTAAATTTTAAAGCAACAGTGTAAAATTGAATTAAAATTGGGTCTCTTTCATTTAAATTGAAAAATTAAATTGTAATTGCTATTATAATCTGCCTTATTACGCCTGTCCATTTTCACAATAGCAAATTGAGAATACTTCCTAAAGCATGTTTGCAATGGACGTGACATAGTTTGATATAATGTTACCAGACGTAGCCTTGACGTCTTGTGAAACAGATCTCTTCACGAGGGAGACGTACTCGGATCATTCCGACCAATAGCAATTATCACGCGAAATTAACGCTCCAGACGTAGATACTAAAGAACTTTGTTCCTTCCTTGTTGTAACCACAACAGAGAATATTGTATCAATTTCGTGTTATCAGTACGTTCGTACGGATTAATCATACGATTAAGCAACTACTGTCAAGGTTGATTTGAGATTCATAACAAAAAAAGAGAAAATCATTTGGAAGATGAATGTCTGTTCGAGAAAAGTGTTTCGCAATATTTAACGTCAAATTTGGCAACCACCTACTTTATTTTTAACGATCAGCACGCGAGATTTATTAATCGTACTCAGACATCTCTGACACGTTATGAAACGAATATCATAACATGTGTGACTCATGTGTAATTGCATGTAAATTGTCGCTATCACATTTATCATTTCAATCGTTTCACAGATAATTATTATGTCTATGCGTTAATTCTGCGTAATCTGAATTCTCTGATTGCGAAAATAATTAATAAAGCAATTTAGACGTATTAATTAGCGTAGTGAAAATGGAGATACGCGAGGTGTCACTCAAAATATAATGATTTCACTTTCTACCTTAAGCAATTATAATATATTAAATTTTTCATTTTTCAATTTTAACGCATTAAATTTCAATGGCACGCCATAGTTGTATTTGGCACCTTAAATGGCACACCCATAAATTTTCTTCTACACTAATATTAATACTGCTCAACTTACCAAAGGGATCGTTCAGAAGGAATTCCTTTCCATCTTTTCCTTTGAGCTTATCGGACACCGGATTGAAATCTAATCTACCAGCGATCGAAAGGGCAGTGACGAGTTCAGGGCTCGTAACGAAAGCATGTGTAGCCGGATTCGCGTCGTTACGACCCGTGAAATTACGATTGTACGATGTGACGATGGTGTTTTTCTCTCCCTTCTTGACATCTTTACGATCCCATTGACCGATGCATGGTCCGCAAGCATTAGCGAGAACGGTACCTCCAAACTCCCTAAGAGTTTTTGCCTGAAAAATGAATATTAATAATTAATATTCAAATGGATATTGACTTGCACAAGTTGCTCTCGAGAAGGAGATGATACGAAATCATTTTAGATAATGCTTGCTTATTGGAATTGGGTAAACGGTATTACTGTCACGTTCATTTACGCAACACGTGTGGTAGAATTTCGAGGCTTTTTGTCGAGTAAAGTTATCGATAAAGTAGCAGGAAAAATACGGACCACGAGCAACCAACGTGCAACATTCTACATCCGTTTTTGCATTGTTTTTTATAACGATAGAATGTTAATAAGAAATATTCTGAGAATGTTGCACAGTTTCACGATAAAACAGCATAGTGACCTCCATCGAGCCTCTAAGTCTTGTAATTTCTCCAAAAATTACAGTAGACTCTCGTTGTATCGCCACATGAACGATTTGACCTTCGCACAAATTTTCAAGTGCCATTTTTCTACCATCTGATCCTATAAAAATGATACAATTTTACCTTCCTTCTCCTCTCTAACTGAAAGTTGAGAAGGTTGAAACATTGTCCACCCCTATAGCGGCAATGTAACGAGAGTCGACTGTATATCATAGAAAGGAATGAATTTCTATTTTTTCACATTGTTAAAATATATTGATCCAAATTAAGAATTGGCGTGGGTTTGACTGTGTGCTGTTTAGCTGACATGTACCAATATTTGGCAGAGTGTCAAAGAAATCAAAGTACAATGTATAGTACAATCTTTCTAATGAAATTTAAAAAAGAAACTTACAATTCCGTCACGTTCAATGGTGGCACGGATTTGCTCGGATCCTGGCGTGACATCGAATACAGATTTCGCTTTCAATCCATGATCAAGAGCCTGTTTCGCGATATTCGCGCAACGACCCATGTCCTCGTACGAGCTGTTTGTGCAGGAACCAATGAGACCGACCTTGATCTCGTTTGGCCAGCCATTCTTCTTGGCAGTATCACCTGGTCACGATTAATTATAAATCATGTAGTTATTTTATACTTTTTCCTTTAGTGATTCTAACACCTTTGAAGAGTAATACGTAACCATGATACTGAATTTATTATTGGATTATAATTTTTAATCGGATTAGATTCACACTTTGATAAATTAATTTCAGTCGTAAAATCTGGAACTTTAGCTTATAAATATTTTGAGAGTAATTCATAGGTCACGAATTATTGATAACAATCTTGGTTATTGAAATATTGATAAGTTCATGAGTATGGTTAAAAAGGAAAGTAAATATCCAGAGATAGAGTGCCTATGGAAAGAATTCCACGATCAGAAATTGAATTTTTAGCCCAGGTGTCCCAAAAACACTGGGGTCCATAACCCAGGACTACTGATAATTTAATTAACTTATTATCAACCTCATACATTTTTGAATATCAAAGATGAAAGTAACATGTTTAAATACTTGGACTAACGAGTACCATGGTAACGCTTACCCAATTTTGAGATGGGATGAGCAAGATCAGGCGTGAAGGGTCCATTGACGTGTGGTTCCAAGGTACTAAGATCCAGCTCGATGACTTGATCGTATTTCGCTCCAGAATCAGCAGTCAAAAGACTCTCTTTATGCTGATCCGCGGCTCCGGCGACCTCCTTACGACCGGTGGCCTTCAGGTAATCCTGCATACGATAGTTGTATGGGAAGATGGAGGTGGTGGCACCAATCTCAGCACCCATGTTGCAAATGGTCCCCATACCAGTACAGCTGATGCTGTCGACACCGGGGCCAAAGTATTCAACGATGGCTCCGGTGCCACCTTTCACTGTCAGGATACCAGCAACCTTCAGGATTACGTCCTTAGGGCTGGTCCAACCCTTCAGTTTTCCAGTCAATTTGACTCCGATTACTTTGGGGCATTTCAATTCCCACGGGATGTTTGCCATTACGTCAACAGCATCAGCACCACCCACACCGATACAAAGACCTCCCAAACCACCACCATTGGGGGTGTGAGAGTCGGTACCGATCATCAGCAAACCAGGGAAGGCATAGTTTTCAAGGATGATCTGATGGATGATACCAGATCCGGGGTTCCAGAAACCGACGCCATATTTAGCACCAGCGGTCTTCAGAAAGTTGTATACTTCTTTGTTGATGTCTTTGGCGCGCTTCAGATCCTGCTCACCACCGACTTGTGCCTCTATCAAGTGGTCACAGTGGATCGTGGAGGGTACTGCTACTTTGGGCAATCCTATCGGAGAAATTGAACAAACGATGAATCATGACATTTTTATAGGGAAGAGTTGTCTTAATTGAATTGTTGAACTGCTATTATAATTTGATGGACATAGGCAATTTGGAATAGGCATCTTGGATTTACAGTTTGCTAATCTGGGAAATATAGGTGAAGTAATTCTTGAAAAGCAAAGATGCCATCATAAATCACTGATATCTCTGGAGATATAAATAAACTGATAGCGACCCAAAGAATTAGGTAGATTCCAAATCTGATAACAATGTAGGTATTTCCAAAAGATAAATACCTGAACTGATAAATTGCAACATGGCCATTTGAGCAGTTGCATCCTGCATAGCCACACGGTCAGGTCTCAGTCGAAGGTAGCTCGTGCCACGGACAATTTCTTGCTTGTTGGGTTCGTCGAGATGAGAATATAAAACTTTTTCGGAGAGAGTCAGTGGCCGGCTCAATCTGAAACGATTTCGTATTTTTCATTTAATGAAATTTCGATTACTTAGTTCTAACGTCAATTGTTATAGTATGCAAAAAAATTTATTACCTAAAATAGAAATACAGAAATACCGAAATTGGAATATAGAAATACCAAAATGAAGGAATAGATAAATGGATAATTAGGTAGCCAATTAATCACACATTAATTAAATACAGAGGTGTTAATTATCATTAACCGGGGCAATTAACCATTGAACTACGGTAAAACTTAGCAAACGTATACAAAAATAACGTTTAAGGAAACGGTATAAAATTCAGAAAATGAAAATAATATAAAACACAGAGTTAAATTAAAATTGAGGCTCTCTCCGTGGTCTGCTGTCCGAGGATTAACAACCTTGATAAGTCGAACTAATATCTAAAATCATTTGAAATCAAATCATCAGTTTAATCACCTTTTCTTCACAATTTTGAGGTTCTCTTCCAATTTATCATAAGGAAGGTAGCTGGTCGAGTCGAATTTGGACATCGCCACTTTTTGAGCGGCGAAGCTCAGCGGGCTCACGCTGAAGCATCTTTGTTGAATATCCGCCGCGAAGACGGCGAGCCTCTGCAACAAAAATCAATCATTAATATCATTTCAATCAATCAGAAAAGAAATCAAATCTCGACAGCAGATAATAGTAAATATCCGAAGAATTTCTTTGAAGAGTGTTAAAATACCTAATTTCCTGATTTCATCGTTTAATAAGTCTGCATATCTGACTTCATTTGATGCAAGATTACAGGATTTTATTGACATTGCAAACGTCAACACCACTGATAACAAACATATATTCGCAAACATCATTTGTTTCCGATCCGGTAACGTTACGCGAACAATGGAACCCACGCTGTATCGTGACGTAATGGAATAATTCAACAAATTGTTACGATAATAGATTTGGGTACCTATTTCTATACTTTTTACTCAACTTGTTGCATATAAGCACGTATGACGAAACAGAAGATTCATCTGTATACATTGACAGTTACATAATACATATTCAATTATTTGCATACGTAATAAACTCAAAGGAGCACGATTTTCTTTGCGCTCTTATTCAAATGAAACGATGTCTATTTATGAAACACACATAATTATACCGTACACGATTATCATTAGCAATAGAAATACAAAACAAGCTCTTATTATCAATGTACATTAATTTTACTATGATTTATTAATTTGTCTTTTTTATTTTCAACAACAAAGTGAAGAGAACTTATTTTCCATTCAATTTTACGCGCCATAAACTGTGCGATGGTGGCTGTGCAATGGCCGAAAATATAACCTATAAATTTCCCAAAGATGTATATAATTGATACGTTTGTATATAGGTTTCAGAGATTATGTAACGTGGAAATATCATTTTGCACCGTTAACTTTGGAACGAACTCGTCTTATCGTTATCATCCACCAATTTCCTTGTTACTATCACGCTTTCGAAATATTTCGAGTACTGACATGCTTTTAACATTCCATTCGACCAATCCTGATAATTAAAATCATATTAAAATATTAAATTCATGAAATATATTTGGAATGTCACAAAAGTGACATAACAGGCTTATTTTCGAAATGCTCGAAATAATTTAAAATAAAATAAAGTGTATTTAAAGTTCATCGAATTAATCAAGAATCTTCGTGAAATTTTAAAGAAAAAGCAGATCGTTTAAAGAAAATAATAGTGTTAGAAATGTTCAGATAAACCGTCAATGGTACCCTTCGAAATGACACGATCGACCTTGACAAACGGGGTCGTCAAACGAAGATCAATATTATTTGCAGTTAATTTAAAAAATTAAATATCTGTGTCGTGTGTAATTGAGGATGTGTTTCATACCTTGCCCTTAATAATTCGGGTACAATAATACATCTCGTCGACGAACGATGCCTGCCGTCACGTCGAAAATGATTTTGTAGCAGGTTGCGGGAAGCGCAGGCGCGAGGTAAAGTAACGAAAATTAGAAAAACAAACTTCTCCTGTGGCAGCCCTTCTCAAACCGGCCACTAGAAGAACTGAGAGAAATTTAGCTTGGCTTCCTCGTGTCGATTCGGTCCAGCCACGCATGCGCCCATTTTTCGATATACACAGGCGATTTGAATACGAATTTTCCGGGAACGATATACTGGCGCCCTCGTGATCGACTTATTTTTAAACGAAGCATCACTGTGGGAGTGAAAAGATGGGTAGTCATTGAGAAAATACACCACGAGGCGCGAAGATCGCTTTTGGAGCAGTTTCTGTGGCATTCGTAGCGCCACCGTCGTCGAAGAATGTATATGGTTGTTAGTTGAGGAACGATGCTGAAGGGGGCATCACTGATCAGGTATTGATCGCTGTTGAACGAAGGTGTACACTTTCAGGCAACGGAGATCTCACTTGGAGCTGTACAGAGGAACTGTACACAAAGAAATGTTTTATTACTTTCTTCATTTTTATATATTTTTTATTTGGGAACATAGGAGGTGTTATTTAGACTCATTTTATCTTCTCTTTAAGCTCTTCTTGGGTTTTTTATAGGTTCTTCCTAAACTCTCCATAGGCTCCCTAGATTCTTTCTAGACTCTTCCTAGGGTCTCCCTATATTAAAAGCAAATTGAGAAGGGTAAGTTGCACCAAAATGTACATACAGTACATTAATAATAATATATTAATACTCACAATTTCTATTTAGAAATAGAAATTTCAAATGAACGATGATCCCTAGAATCAATCTATTGAATCCAATGACTTAGAAAATGAAAAAATTATAATTTTAAATACCTGAAAATTGCTCCTTATAATTTCTAATATTAAATGAAGAAATTTTCTATGATTTCAACGTAGTACTCGAAGTATTAAGGAACTGGAAAATCCACCGGATATCCTTTATTACTAACCTACTAAGGTTGAAAGATAATATATGAAGACAGGTACTACGAAACAAGAAATAAATTTGCAAACTTTCAATGTCTAAACTGCTCGAATTTCATCATACAAGAGTCTTGCCCGTAATTGGGTAATACGTAGATATAGTGGTTGATACCCTAGATTAGTTTTTATCTAACGATTCAATTACAATGATTTACTATCATGTTATATCGAGGAACTTTTAAAAGAGGAAAACTTTTCATCATTATTTACAAAGCTTACGCGTAAGAGTTATCTTGTTTTAGATTATCTTATGATGCAATTATCATACCTCAAGATTAAGACAGACAGTTATTATCGTACAAGAATCTTGTACGTAATTGTTGTTTTATTATAGTGTGTACTTTAAATTCATTTTTATGACGTAATTTGGCTACTCTTGGATAGAGGTATATCATACTATGAAAATTACGTGTTGTACTCTACGTGATACTACTTTAGCTTATTAACAAACGTGATATCAAAGGTTTTTCATCTAATCTGATCCATCTTGATGACAACTGGTTCGAAAATTGACATAAATTCTGTAGATATTCTATTCAAGTCACGAAATGCATAACATTCCCCAGAAATTACAGAAAAAAATGACAATGTGTTAAAAATCATGAAGACAATTTCAATGTTATAAAAACATTTATTATTTTCCATAATTGTTTCTCCGAAGTTCCTCAATAAATTTTGAAAAGAAAACATTAAAGAAACGAAAAATATCAATTTTTTAAAGTCTCTTCATGACTTTTGGACCTCTATAGTTTAATCTCTATAGTTTAAAATAATGACAATGAGAAATAAAATTTTGCAATTTATCACCATCGACTTTACAAAAGTCGATCGATCTAATACGGCACTTTAAGCGCTTCGATTCATATTTATTCGATGATAACACGATAACGAGGATTCCTTTCGTGACCAGATATAACTCGGAACACTTCAAATGCGTCGCTGTGGAATGATGATTTTGAAAGTGCGAGTAAAAAACTTTCGATCTTGAGTCGGTTGAAAGTATAAATACATTCTATATCTCGAAAGGAAAATGATGATTGGTCAGAGAACATAGAACAAACGCGTCGATGGTGTGTTTTTTTGTTCGAAACAAACGATCGAATCGCCTTGAAGGCGAGCGAGTTAATTACTCTAATGAAACGGGATTGATCATTTCTCTTCCGAGATGTTAGATATGATTCATGAAAAGTATCCTGAGAACGGACGTTACTTGGGTAGCGAAGAGCTGGGAAATTACCAACAGGTGTATTAATCCATTAATGGTCAGTTGGAAATTTGATTAATTAAACTAAAATTAAAATTTGTATAAAAAATTCACTATTTAAAAAGGATATAAGGATGACCCACTTTCCAGTGGGCCTCCTTCTAAGTCTTCACAAGACTTAGAATTAATTTTTTCCCCCAACTTTTGTATTAAACTCTTATTATAAGTATTTAAGTATTCAAATAGGACTTGTTAAGAAATGATTTAATCGAATTTCCTGAAGAAGGAGTGACAATTACAGAAATACAAAGTTTAATCATCGATTATTTCTACCCCATTACGACGCTCATAAATCAACTGACATCCGATTGTTACAATATTTCCTTTGTTAAGCTTCGATTATAGAGGGTGATCTAAATATCAGTCCTCTGAATAGTCCAAGTGATCTTTCATTAGACAAAAGACGTGTAATCATTTTCTGGGAATGCGTAGGAACAATAACATATACTTTCCTAGTAGTATGAGGTCAATAATGGAATCAATATGGATTCTTTTGGAGAAAGAATGCAGCTGCATTCTACTCTGCTGTCATTCCTTAATTTTTATTTCTTTTTTAATATTCACCCATGAATCAACTACTCTGAACCAATTGCTACTACGTGTAACTTTTAATAGACCTAACAATAAACATTTTTTTTTGCATTTCCAAATAAAATAAAATACAATTTTCTTACCAATTGTCATAGAAAAAGTTCAAAATTTCATCAAATTATATTTGTCAGCTGTTTTTCATTTTATCATAAGTTTAAAGATTAATGAATGTATCTGAAAATTTAGATTCAAGATTGAAACGAAGTATAATTTTGTCGAGTGTTTGTAGGACTCTAATTTATTCCAAGTACCATGACACATTCTCGAAGAGGTGTTACACAATCCTCTAAATCCTGTACGAAGGCAAAGTAAGATACTTACTCACCACCTAGGATCAGCGTTGCATAAATATCTAAATATTTTTTTCTCACATCAATTGAATGGATTAGTCATCGCAATCGACCACTAAAGCAAATAGTATTCCTCCTTTCTCCAACGATTCCCAGGGAATCGTTCCGGTTCAGGAAGTGGAAAATCTTCACATTTCCACGGTTTCATCAGAGTCGTGTATTATAAAAGCATCGTTTTATTGAGATAAGGAATTCTTCGTGTGTTGGAATGGCTTGTAATCAACATATTTGCAATGCGCGAAGCCGGAACGACTACCAAGGTGGTGATGCAAGGCACCCTGGCGCCAGTTTTTTAATGTGCCCCCGTTTCGTTAACCCAACCGATCGTATAGTATCGACATTGTCAAATCGACAAGGCCGGACTCCTGGCGAAAACCTAACCCAGACCTTCGAGAGATAACGTCGAAACTCGTTTACTTTCAGCGTTATTCGATTCGTTTTCTTTGGGACACGAAGGACGTGCATTTTTCTGTATACTGGGTGGACTTGTCTTAAAAATAATTGTAGGTATTCCCAAAACTCCTCCTTAGCAATTCTTTTCTTTAATTTTGAGAGTTTGAAAAAGTTGAGTAAAAATTATTAGAATAATTTACAGTGTAAGCAAATTATATTAAAAAGGGTAAATTTTAATTTTAATTTGTAATTTGTAATTTATAATATAAATTGCAATAATCCATAATTTAATATTGCCAACAAATTTTCCAAATATATTATTTCATGAAACTTCATTCATTTCCGGTATTATAGATGGTAGTTTCCAGTATCACGGACGTTTAACGCTAAGTGAGTCGTTCCCCTATCTATTAGTAGCTTAGCTACTAATTACGGTTTCCAATTAGCACAGCTGTCTCGTTGAAAGAGAAGATCACGGAAGCAATTAGAAGCTAGTTAATTGCTTAGGAAATTGAAGCTTGTTAATTAGTTAGAGAAGAAATTGTAGCTTTTTAATTTTCTATAATCTCTATATAGATATTATCCCAAGGTGATACATATTGTTTTCATTATAAAAGGTTGTTTTGTGAAAATAAACGTGTGTGTCATTATTATTTCATTGTTAGACACATGTTACCTTGTTTGGAACGAATGAAGCTCATTCTCACCCTTGAAACGGAAAGTTTCGTAATTTTCTATTGCAACTAACTGGCTAGTTCATGAAAGTCCTTCGCTTAGAATTCTTCCTATCTATCACGTATCAAATTCAAAAAGTATTTAGTAATAATTTGCGACCATCCTTACAAGGTTACAATAAATAATAATTTATAGAAATAAAAAAATTAATTTAGCCTTGGAAAAGTATGAATTTTCAATTATTTTCCTGGAATTAAAAATTTTCAATTACCTTTATTTTTTAATATATTCAAAATTCAAAATAAATACGACGTTGACTTTGAAAGTATATTATATTAAAAATTGGACAAGATCGTTAACAAAGGAATTTGTTTACCATAATAAACTTGACAACGAAAGGACACATCGGTGGAGCAAACAAGCAGGATCAACGCGTGCGGTGTCGAAACATGGTCCACCTACAACAAGAGTTAATCATGTCAAGGACCCACGGAGCCTTCTCTCGGCTTCGTGTAATCTCGTTATAATACCCTCTTAACCCTACGTGCAGAACGGTGAATCGATTTTATTCAACTCTCGATTGTCCGTTTGATGACAAAGAGCCTGATGGAATTCGGACGCGTGCCAGTGCTAGTTGTCTCGTTACGAAATCTCAAGGTTTAAACAGCAGATCTTAAACCTTATACATCTTTATGTTTCAGTCATTCATTTTATTGACTCGATCGCTACGGAATAGTAAACACAGGTCAATAGTAAAAATTTCATTAAAAAATGAAATATCACATATTTTTGTGTTTCAGGAATATATTTTGTTCTTCGTAGGATTTTTTATTATTAATATTACTGTTTACTATAT